CCTTTTTGTTTATTGATTATGTTATGTGTTTTGTAATTATATATTCTGAACACGCCATTGTCGGGCACAAAAGTACAGTCGACACGAACGTTTACCAAAGTTTACCTATGTACACGAATTGCTTTGAATTTGTTCAATCTACAACAGCTGTTGTTTTTCAATGTTCAATTGGTTTTTTTTTTTCGATTTAATGTTTTGTTTCTTCGTGTTAATTCGTGATTTGATTAAAAACCCTAATTAATTATACAACAGGCATTGTTCCCGGAGTTGACAACTACCCGAGAGATTTATTTTCATAAGAAACAATAGAATAATCGACATGAGTAAAGTGCCGTCAGAGGCGTTTTATAATTAATCCAACTCTCGACTCTGTAAGTCAACAAAGTCACCTTTATTAGATTGATAAATCCAACAAGACTATATTTTATTATTAGGCTTTCAAATTAATTAATACATAATTTCTGCATGATCAATAATTTTGATAATACAACTTTTTTTGTTTTACTTAAGTTTTAGCCAATTTTTAAAATTTTTTTTTGGAAAATTCAATTGTTATTGGTTTAGGTACACGGGTGACTGGTGTATAAATAACGTTTTCTATATTTTTTTCACATTCATTCCAGACTAGTCTCTATTGGATTCACGATCAACCTAATTCGCTTTGGCCTTTGTCCGTGGACCGTGTCAAACCTATATCGATAATTATTATTATTATTTTAATCTAACGTTAAAAAAATGGCGCCAAACATTCTAGACCGTGCGCAATAGTAGGTATAATAATATTATTATTACAATGTTGGTAAACTAATACTGATATTATACCTACCTAATCAATACGGCCACTTGCCGGGTTATATAATCTTAAACTCGCCGGAGACCTGACCTTATCGCAGTTTATATATTTTTTTTTTATCGGTTAGCCGCGTTTGACACACAAACGGAAAACACATTGCCGGTCTATAAACGACAAACCGTATCGCACAACATTGTTTGCACATATCTGTATATTATTATATTAGTAATTCTAATTTGGACGTACGGTTCATCCTGTTTTCTGACCTGACAAAGTTTAAACAATTTAAAAAAAAAAAAAAAACACTGAATTAATATTATTGGATTCAAAAATATTCAAACACGGGTTGAATTTTGAAAGTCAAAAGTTCGTCGATCTTGTTGACTCATCAATGACAAGGACAAACACTATTACATAAACACAGTACCTACCTATAACCGATAGGTCAGGTTTAAGAAATATTATATTGTTATACAACGTGTGTAGAGTAACTAAAGTGTTACGTTACTGTAATGTTGTTTTGTATAAAATAATCGTTTAAATCATTATTTTCAAAGGTCAAAAATTATGTTTCATACATTCGAATCGAAAATGCCATTTTGTTAGTGGGTATTGTCGAGGAACGACTTTCAAATGTCAAATATATATTATATTATGTTTACCAGTGAAAAACACAAAGATGTGATGAAAACAATGACTGGTCGATTACCAGTTTTTGGATAAATATAATTCCCCAAATTATTTGTATTTAAATGTATAGACTGGGAGCGAGGTAGACAGTAGTTATACAAAATTTCCAAAAAAAATCATTATTACCCATATTTAACAAACAAAAACTATTTTTAATATTGCTGTTAAAAACATTTATATAATAAAGGTTACCACTGAGGGTTAACGTTTAAAATTAAAATAGCAATACTCATTCCGCTTTCAATATAGGTTATTTTAACTATTTACGTTTCGACAATAATATCCTTTATTAATCACCCATAAATTAATTATATACCAAACATTGAAATATATTACACAAGGGTTTTATTGAGAACTAGTTAGTTATTGGAAAAAATATTTGTAACTCGAAATTTCGACAGCCATATCTGTGTTTTTGTTTTGAGTGTGTTAAGTGTTTTTTTTTCTCATGTCAAGTATTCGGCATTGCACGTATTGTTGTTGAATTATCTAAATGCTTTAGGTTTTGTTTTTTTTTTAATATTCGATAACGTCCGGAGCACGCGTTCCTATTGCACAACACAATATCATACGAGTCACTATCACTTAACCCGAAACGGTAATAAATAATAATCATCGTTATTAGTATTATTACTATTACAAACAGGTGTACTGCTATGATTAGTCATTATATTATGTATGTACCAACTATCAACAACATATATTTAACAAATATTACACACAATGTTGACTGACTAGCATAGTATTTGAAGTGTGCGTTAGAAATACTTTTAGAATAATAATTGTACTAAAAAAGAGATAAAAAAAAAAGTTAATCTTTGTAAACAAAATGCTTCAAGTACATATTATTTGAATAAATTAACGACTAACAACAATAATATCACATTTGGTCAATTTTTACTAAAATAACAATTTGTATTTTTATGATTTATTTCGTTGGATAAGTATTTAGGTGCTTTTAGCCTATTTTAATTTTTTATTAAGCAATTTTTTTTCTATAATTTTTTCAGTGTTGAATTTGAAAGCAATAAACGCACAAAGCACAACATTGGTGGCGTAAAAAAGTTTGTATTAAATGAAATTCCTATCAGAGTATATCTATTTTAATAATAATTTTTTATCGCCTTGTCTACCTTGTCTTCAATGTAATAGTATCACCATCGTAAACGGAGTAAAATAAAGTCTACTGGTCGAAAAAGGCTGTCTGTGATCAAAGTGTAAGGTATAAAAAAGACAAAAAACGCCTAATAATAATTGACTTATGCACTTATTTTTCCTCTCAGGCGATGGCAAGGGTTCGATTGCCATTTTTATTTCTTTTTATTACCACCATAAAAAACAGAAGATTTATAAAAAAAAAAATATATGCTCCATTTATGCAAATAAAATATTATTTCAGCCCGGTTTTTTTTTTATTAGATTTTGAAATTAAAACGCATAATGCTTGTAAAGAAGTATGCCCTCGAGTTACTATTAAAGCATGCCGCTTTAGGCCAAGGCAGCGTTAAGTCCAAAGAGAGAGAGAGAGAGAGAGAGAAGAAAACATTTTAGAATTTTATATATAAAATTTCATTTAATAAAATAAGTCTGCTTGGATATTTAATATAACGTTTGGGCATTAAAGGAAATTTTAACGACGCCCCACGCCGTGTCGAACCGTCAAAGGTAGACACGTGGCGGCCTTTTTGATTTCAAAGGCGACGGTTAGAGTTATTCAAACGATTACAGTTCTAATTTGAATACAAGGTTCCTAAGAATTACCGTCCCCCGTTAATGCGATTATAGCACTCACAATCAGTCGCGGCGTAAATGCTTTTCCAAGACCCGCGTTTCCCTTTCAAGTGTTTTTAGTTAAAGTTTACACAGTTCGACGAACAGCGATTTCAAAGACTTCCCCGCATACTTCCGGCTTTGGCGCCTCACAAAGAAAACTCGGCGGGAAACCTTTGATAAAAACATCAAACTCGAGTAGGTAGGTAGGAGACTACACGTAACAGTTAGTTTTTTTTTTTAGTTTGCTTAAACTTCCTAAACGACACAAAACCGTAATAGTTTAACGTTCAAGTTTCAACGGCTCGTTAATGATCAACAACAGAGGGAAAGTGATTAATTTCGCCAAACGAGGATAATTTTGTGTTTACGTCTATTATTAGGAAAAAAAAAATAATCGTTAGAACAACTGGACACTGCTGTGTTATCACTATAACATCTGCTATAATATTTAATATCATAAACGTTTCGGTACGGTGAAAATATATAAATATTTATTTGCATTAATAATAAATTTAATGGATTTGTTAAACAATGAAAAACTAAAAATTACAATGCCTACTTTGGAATGTCAGAATAAGTGCGAAAAAATTCTACATAGGTCAATCAATTAGGAAACAGTAAACAGATTATTTTTTTCCAACCGTTTATTATTAATTCATATTTACCATGATTTTTTTTACTCAATTATTACTGTACTAGTGTCATCGAAGCAATTTGATAGTGATTTATTGCAGACGCAATTTATCGGCAACGAGGATTTAATTTTAATTCGGTGTTTTCCACCACCTTTTTGTATCCAACCTCTACTTTGGAACATTTATAATATTGTGCGTTTTCCGGACTAAAACGATTCGTTTTCAATTCCGAGTGTCTTTGTGTGCGTTTTCCAGACATAAATAATTCATACAGAAAACTACTATATCTGCATTTATAGACTATGCGAGACGTTTTCAGCTAAGAGCGCTTAAAGCAAAAGTCAGTGATCCGTAAACTGGTGTACATATTATACAGAGGGGTTAACTGAGTTTACCTACTCGGTTGATTGTATACACGGCATTGTCGGCAGGCAATCGCTCGGGCAGAATGTAGCAGAATTAATCCGACTGAAAGAGCATCGTGCCCATTTGATTTGGCACCCCCCCCCCCGCGCTCGCGTTTTGGAAACTCGTTAAACCTGAAGATAATATAATACTGTTTTAGACGGATCTCATCGCACGTTTACGATTATTGCCGGACCCACCCAATGTGTAAATGTGCAGGTACCTAGGTGTGCTATTAAATCCAGGAGGAAACGACAACAACAAACAAAGGTCGTTGCCGGAAAGACCGAACCGGCGAAAGGTCAACTCGAGGGTTTGGACGCGTGACCGCAACTCGTTAAGTCGATTCGCCCTCCCCGCCAATAGTGTATAGAGGATGACTCAATCTTGCGCCCGGTCACTGAGAAAAAGGTTAAATGAATTTTACAACCCTTTCTGCAAACGCTATTACGAGAAAAAAGAAAAAAAAGCCAGCACTAGGTAGGTCACAAGCGGAAAGTGATAAAAATCACACGTTCGATTAAACTCTGTTCGATTCGAATCCGGTAGAAATACAACCAAACACCGTTGTGATGACGAATAACAATATGCATAAAAATTGTTTTTTTTATAGTACCTACTAGATAGGATACGATTGGCGTCGGTGCACAATAAACCGATTGTTTTTTCCATACTTCGTCACGATGAAACTATTTTTCAGTTACCTGTCGACTGTTGGCGCCGCCGCACTCACGCCTAGAGATTTTCTCTACCTAATAAAAAATAAGTTTGATTACAGATTTTCAAGAAAATTGTACATCATGTGTAACATTGCCACTGTAGATCTATAAATCACACCTAAAAAAGTACAAAAAAGAAAAAATTGACCACCCTTTTTTTGGTTTGTTGATTCGACAATTTTTAAAAAAGTTCATTTTAAATGTGCAAATTGTTTTGGGTATTTTTCTAGATTTTGAATGGGAAGAGGTAGTGTTTATTTTTTTAATTTTCGTTCCAATTGAGTTGGCCCTGTAACGAAGTGTGACAGTGCGACCACTTAAAATTAAAATAAATACTTTTTCTTATAGGTTGTTGGACACTGCAAATAATCAGATCATAGGCGAAACTAGAGTTTTACATTTGAGTGTGCCCTTTCATTTATGACCTATTGTGTTGTTAGTTTATTTTTGTAAAAAATGTTAAACACTATGCATTTTTGCTAAGCTAAAATATAAATTTGTCCATATTTCTTTATTCAAAAATTGGGTTTTCTTTTCTACTGTCCGAATGAAGCCCGACCCTTGTGGACCACGAGTTGTGGTACGAGTGAGTGTGTGTGTGTGTGAAATGCATTATGGACGATAAAGGCGGATAGGTCTCAAAGGCAGGCTGTCGAGATTGATGACCGCCGCACTTGGAAAACATTGTATTGTGTGCACAAAATCTTCTGGACGGCAACAATAACGTTGAATCGCCGTCCGGATTTTTTAATAACATTTCCAACGCCTTCGCAAGATGTTAATTTTCCGGCAAACGGTTCATCTGATTTGTTTGGAATTCACAAAGCATCGCCGGCAACGATGATTGCACTGCGCACACAATAGATAAATAAAAAAAACATCTGCGATTGGCAGCGAACAACAATGTTTGTACCGCGAAATAATATGTGAAAATACATTTTTCGTAAGGCGGAAAAATATTCGCAACGTGTGAAAATCCCCCAAAAAAAAGAAGGTTTAATAAATTGAGATTTGCCAAATTTCCTGTAATCATTTAAAATCACAAATAATCGAGGTGCTACAATTCAAAACGTACCTTTTCCATTTTTCTACGTTTTCAGCAGTAGAGCAAGTTTAATGTTTAGGAACATTTTAAATGGTCAAGATCATAACTCAAGATTTACAAAAAAAAAAAACTAAAAAATATTTTTAATTGATTCATAAACTCTTTTGTTTCCTTATTATTATTTTTTAGGAGATAAGACAAAAAAAACGGCCCTTTTCCGAAAACAGTACGTTTTGCATTAAATTTGGAAAAATTATGTATTGGAAAAAATTCGTTGGCAATTTTAAACAAAACGTGCTTTTTCCGGAAATAGACAATTATTTTGAAAAATATATTAATTAAAAGAAAAATAAATTAAAATATATTTTTTTCTTTTTTTGTCTTTAATTAACTCTGTGGAAATATCACAAAATTTGTTAACTTGTAATACTTGTTTTGTTTAATTTTTGTACATAAATACGCTATACGTCTTCATCGTATTGTTGACAAACATTTGGTTAGTTCTAGTTCTTTTCATAATAATTATCAAACATATATTATAATTGCAAAGATAAAAATCAACTACACTAGATATTCAAAAATATTAAAAACCTAACAGTACCTAAATACCTAAAGAACATAAAATGTTATGATGACTGGATATCATAACTGCAGTTTGATAAGATTTTGGAGGGAAATCGTATCACAAAGTCACATTGTAATGAAGACGGGAAAGAATGAATACATTTTACTAAAATTTAAATTATGTATAATTTTAATAGAACGCGTGTCATAAGATATTCATAAATTAAATATTATTAAACAATTGATTAAATAAAAAATACAAATCGTTCAAATAAAAAAACAAGTCCATTTTGGAAAAAAATATTCATCAATCACCCATTACTATTGTATAGGAAAAAAAGCGTTTTGAAGTAAAATGGAAATGGAACGTTTCGCAGTGAACGATGTAATGGAAAAAGGACGTTTTGAATTAATTGTTATTTTTCAATCATTTTTTTTCTTTAGGAAAAAGAGCGTTTCGCCTGAAAATAGACTCATCAGATGTGTTGGCGTTATTCAGATGTATGCTCAGCCAGAGGCTATCAAATTTTTGAATCGTCGAATTCAACGTCACATCTTGTCATTGAAAATCATTATGTTGTGAGTTTGGAAGACACAATTCCATGTGTACTATAGCTACACTTTTTGTGGGACAATACAACTATCTTGTGGTCCTGTTGAAATAGGGTTGCATTAGTTCGCGTCGGTCCAGATCCGGTCGGTCACTACTCTATTTCCGGCTAAAGCTCTGCCGAACGGAACTGATGGCAGCAAAGGCTTTGGTTTGTGCTCGCAACCGTCGGAGACGATTCAATTAAACCGACGTCAAGACCGAAGCACTCGAAAAACGGCACGTACGGTAGTGTATAGGTGTACACTATACCGTGTACCGTAGAAAGGTAAATGCAATTATTTTATTGTGCGGCCGACGTGATTAATGATGGTCGGGGCGAGGAAACCGAATATTGAAAGAAAGTCGATCAGACCGGATTGACGACGGTATTCGCTAAACGTTTGCTAATTAACACGTTTAATTCCGTTTTCCCAACGTCGTGTCGTGTGACGGATGTAACCGGTCGGTCGATGAGTCACACGCGTGTGTATTTGTTTGTCTATGCCTATGTGTCTGTCGCTCAGCCAGGCCGAATCATCCACGGTTTGCTGATTAATGACTGCTGCTGCTGCTGCTAAGGCCGGGCAAAAAAGGGAGCCGAGCCAACGGTAAACGTTCTGTGCAAGGAACAACAATATTATTATTATATACGAGCAGCCACTGCCCTTTGGTCGTCCGAGTTTAATTAGCAGCTCGTGCCAGGGTAAATCGAGTGACAGCGCACGGGGAAATGTTATTTCTGGGTTTTACATGGTTGTTGTCCACACCCCGATCCCTTTGGCCATTGGGGCGATGACCTAGTTTGACACAATATTACCGTTTATTTCACAGCGACCTATCCAAAAAAAAAATAGTCCATCACAAAAACGACTACTATTTATACCGTTATCAAAACTAAGTCGGGCAAAAGTAAACCAGACTCGGTTTTCGAATATTTTTTCGCAGGGAAAATATATATTTTTGCATTTGTACTTGTATTTCATTTTTTTTTATACTCATTCGTCCGAAAGGAGCTTAACGTTCTGTGAGAGGAGAAACGTCGATGATGCCCGGTGAATTCCCCGGAAAGACAGTTCCGGGGTTGTATTCGGAAGTTAAAAAAAAAAAACATTTAAATTAAAATAACGATCAAACGGGTTTTATCGGCTTATTTGAGATGTACATCGGCATTTTTTTTTTATTTATTCATTCGAATTTTAAGTATTTAAACAGAGGTTTAAAGCAAAAAAATGTATATTTTTTTAAATGCCTAAAAGGCAATCACCGGCGGTGGACGACGAGCGGCCAAAGGTTTTGTGTTATCGCTTGTCGTCCAGGCCGGCAAATCGGTTTGAATATTTCAAATTATTTTTTGGAAGTGCATTAAAAAATCAAAAAAAAAAAAATCCTACCTTGTTGCAGAGTTATACCATAGACCATATGAAAACTAACACACGTCATACCTAGCACACACACACACACACCCAGCTGGATGGCTATAATAATTGCACACTATACAAAACCCTATTAAACGCATTATAATAAAAAAAAATTACCATGTAAAACGATTACGACATGCCGAGATAACAAACAGAAAAAAATAACAATATTATCGTCGGGGTATGTTTTTTTTTTACCGGTTGATTTTCCTGTCAGGATAAAAAAATACCGCTTTTAATCATGTTCTATACTCGGCCAAGTATGACCGAGCTAAGTGTTGAGGTTAAGCACAACCGTAGGTCACGAGATAAGTACACTTGCTGCCTGAAGAAGTATACCTCTAATGTATAGTAAAATAATATCAACAGAATGATAATAATTCGTTTTAAACGGATTCGACCGTTTGACCCGATTATACACACCTGCCGGCGTTGCATAAGTCACTGGAATGAATTAGGTTTTTTTTTTAATACTAGTAAGCCGTCTGAAAAAATTTGCTTAGTAAACAAGACATTGACATTTTTTTTTAATCGGAGACGGCACGTAGTCTTTCTTGATTTTTAACGTCAGTGGAATTAATTAAAAATATTACATAATTTTATCGTTAAGCGATGAATTCAAAAAGTATGAAACATTTAGATGGGGAAAATGTGTTTTCGCTTTTCGCTGCACTTGTACAAGGTGCCAAGGTGTGATTCTGATAGGACCCTTTAAACAACAAAATCCGTCCATCGATCCCAAAGATCCATTCAATTACCGTTAAGTGTTTTTTTTTTGAAAAATCAAGAAAGTAAAATTCTCTGGCTTGTTGCCGGCAACATCTTTTTATTGCCAATCGCTCGCCACCGGTCGACTAGAACGGATTTGTCTCTTTCCACTTATACTGTACTTTACACCGAACAATTACCTACGTCACCTGAGCTCTGGTTATTTTTATCGTCGGATTCGTCTCAGTCCCTTTAGAAGACACCGACCGTGTAGTGACCGAAAAAATTTAATTCTTACTCGACAAAGTTCAAATTGAAAATATAATATTGTTAACTTGAGATAATTAAAGTTACCATTTTCCGCCCGTATTTGTCGTATTTAGAACATCATCACGTGAAATTATGTTTATAACAATTTTAAGTCAAGGTAAAAACACAGAATCACAGATATTTATCACCATTTGTATTATTTGTTATCATAGATAGCTGTTATCAACCTCACAGTAGCGAATGCTTATGATTACAGCAGGTTGATAACAGATAACACGAGTCGAGTAAAGAGTGAAATATTGTTATACTAAATTGTTAAAAGTTTATTGAGTTTATTTAAAATTAACGTTAACTACTAAGGATAAACTTAACACAGAATCAAAGGTATAATATTTATTATGTTATACACACATAATAAATCCCACAATAATGGCGGACGTCGACTTCCGTTGTTATCACAATCTAGTTAATAATATCTGTGGTCCGTTCTGACATTGCACACGATAACAAGTGAATATTTCAGTGTTGCCAACACAGTAAAACGGGGTGCATAATAATTCTCCATCTTATGACAGCAATCTTAAGTAGTTAATACCAATTATTGTTTTGGTTGGTCATAGAGTAATAGTAGCTAGTAATAGTGGTCATAGTAATAGTAGTGTTTGCGTTTACGCTTTTTTTAAAAATGTATTTTATGCGTTTCAAAAATAACGTTTCAATGACGTTGGCGACACTGTACAAAACATAGTGTCAACACTGTCGTTGTTCGAAAACCTCTCCCTAACGGTCACATCGCGTTTTGACAACTTTATTTTCAGCATTTTATTTGGCAACCACATTCGGCGGTCCTCTTTAATAACTCTCTCCACACCTATTGCCATTGAAAATCGCGCTCTGATTTTGGCAAACCTTGTCGTTTGCCGGATTTTGCGCCCACCCGAATGTGCATAATCCCAGTTAAACCACGGTCGGACAAAAACAATAAAAAAAAGCCATGAAAATAATAATACTATAATCTCTCAGAACGCAGATAATAATAACTCTGGACTTGTCGGCCACATCCTGGACAGGAAGATAACATGATAGCGTTATCGCGTTTCAACTAAAAACACAGTAGAGCTATCAGAGTCTTACCCTATACCGCCAGCATTCCACGTTGATCCCACAAGTTCCTCGTTTAAAAAAAAAAAAAAAATTGTTTTCAATCGAATTTAAACATATTTATTGACATTTACTTTCTGAAAACGTTTTTACGTTTATGTAATTCAAAAATACTATAAAATTACAAAATCATTTACCCTTTTAAATATTTTTAAACGAATATATTATTATATAATTAATTTGTTTAATGAAGAACATTTCGACCGGCCAATACCCGGTTTTGGATAATATTATTTTTAAACTTAAGCGGCTTTAACGAAATTTGATTATCGTCTAATGTTTTTTGAGACATAACAGAAAGCGTCTCGAAAAAGTAAAACTACAAAATGATCTGAATGATCGACACTACTGTTAGTTTGTAATATTTTATTGAAACTGACAACACCTTATTTATGTCGGATTATGTTATAACAATGTAGCTGATTTTTTTTTTGTTCCATTTGACATGTATCTCGAGTATTAATTTCCAACAGAAGTATGCATTGCTTATCGCTTACTTATATATTATTACAACACACCTAGGTACGCATTAAAATCAAATATTTTCTATTTTTTTATTTTTATTTAAATAATTACCTACATTTTTACCAAAGAAACACGTTGTTTCAAAGTGTTCAACATTTTAAACGTTTGTCACGCAAACGTTTTTTTTTTTAAAGTTTTTAATTTATACAATGACCATATTCAGCTGGAGAATATTTCCAAACTTTTTATAGTCCCCAAGTTGGATTAATGATTTAAAACAAAAAAAAAACTAATATTCTAAGAAAAGGGCCCTAAATCACACCTAACCTATCCTAACCTAGCCGGTCTTGCAAAGACTTCAACCTACTGGATTTGTGTGTGTGTGTGTGTGTGTGTGTGATAAGCACATAAGCATATTGTTATGAATATTTTAAAAAACTTCAAATAAAAAATTAAATTATAATTTTACCTGAGACGTCGGTCTGTCTGGATCAGTTGTGGACTATTGAAATAATAATTTTGGATGTTGCTTTGTTTTTTTTAATTACTTTTCTATGGCTGAATTTTTTATAACAGTCCGGTTTTGAGTGTTTTTTTAATTTTTTAAAAAAAATTTTACCGGCGGCAGACCGCGATCGATTTTCGACGCACGGAATATTATTACACGGACGACGGCGCGGACGTTATGGGACGCACCACCGCAGCTGATCACCACCGCGGGCCCGACTGGCCGACACGGTACGTCGCCGTGTCACGGGACGCTCCCGTTTCGATCCGAAAACGTAACACGCGTTTAGCGCCGGGGCGGCAGTGTCAAGGCGTGCGCGTTACAAAAGCCCGCGGCGGCGGCTCGGACGACGGCGGCCGGCGGGAAATATTTATATATTTTTTTTTCCCCACAACGGACAACACAATATTGTTGCGAACGAAATATTTATTTTAAAATATTGTTACGGTGTACGCGTGGCAGTGTCGTCCGCGCGCGTCTGCCGGTACGGGCGGAATGGCCGCGGGACGGCCGGCCGAAAATTCGCCTCGGCCGCCGCAACGGACGCGCGCCGCGGTGCCATAATACATAATTATTGCGTGCCGGATGCGCGAGCGGCGTTATGAATTTTGCCGCACCGCCGTCGGATTATTATCAACCTGACCAAACCTAACCGAACTTAACCTAAACGAAAAACCAAACCTAACCTAACCCAACCGAACCGAACCTAACCTAACTGTAATAGTTCAAATTCCAAAATATAGTTCATTTATGGTACAGCCATATTAAATATTCTGTACACATTGGGGAAAGTGTACCTAACTCAGTACAAAACAAATCTCACCACACAAATTAAAATTATGTTATAAGTTTTAAAAAAAAAGTGTTGGTTTCGAATGTATTTTTCATGCTATGATATTGTGTTTTTATTGTTCTATTTTTAAATATACCACAAACTCTTTCCCAGAAGGGATGAAAATGATTTATTTATTTTCGAACGTGTATTGAATAGTACTATAACATGTACAACTAAAATTAATTTGGGTCACCAAAAGTTGAAAAAGTCCAGCCGTTCTCAGTTTCTATTCTAAATCGAAAAAAAAAACACTTAATATTGAAATAGTTGTACAATACCTAGTATAATATTCGTTATTATGATTTAGCCCTTTGTTTTTTTTTTTTGCAAAAACACAACTGTGTGTAATTTTTCATGGCTCTAAACACAGCAAAAATTGTTTTTTGAAAATAATTAAAACTTTTGAAACGACCAAGCAATTGGCTTAACATTTGTATTTTCATTGCTTATGAGTTATTCAAATTTTAAATCTAATTTTTATTTTTTATTGAAAACTTTATTAACAATTAATTTCATGAATTATAATTGGTTGGCCTCTTAAACTGTAAAGTACCTATTCAAAATATACTACACCATGCCAATTAACAGCGCTACAGCTGAAAGAACATATTTTAATCGACCAACACTAATTAAGACCTTGGGTCTGGTATATGGAGAAAACATTTTCTAATTAATTTCGTTTTGAACACGCAAAACACTTTTTAGACTATTTTTTTTTTCCAAAATTGTCTTAATAAAACAAATCAAGCTTCTCATTTGTTTTTCAACAGTACTTTAGTTATAACAGGTATATAAATTATAACATTATTACATACTTTATTTCGGCAATTTCGGGAAAAGTTGTTTGTTTCCATTGTAAAAATTAAAAAAAAAAACAATTAACACCATCAAATTGGCTGAAAAGGAATGAAACGTTTAAAATGGGCAATTTTTCTGGAACATAGTACTATGGGATAGGCGCAGTTGGGCGTTTTGTTGTTTTGAATTTGATTTGGGGTGAGTTTTTCCGATAGGGGAAACCCGTGTGTTCCACTGAACCGTTCAAAATATTTGTAATAAATGTTTGCTTATCATTTAGTAGTGTTTGTCTGTTGTGCCAGTCGGTGTGTGCACAACGTGTCCATTCTTTGGGTTCGATCGAGCAAACAGTCGTTATGTTGAATTTTTAATTTTCTCAATATTGTTTTTGAGGGATATTTTCCGTGTGTGTGTACATTGGGTTTGACCCTCTTTATTAAGCACACGACTGTTTTTTTTTTTCATGATAAATATTATGTAGACAAACAACCCAAACTAAAACTGCGCTTCTTTTGTCACAACATCATTTAGGTACGACTCATATTTTTATAATTCACGTAACAATGCGGTTGGAAGTCTTTGGCTTCGTCGTTGCCACGTTTTTTTTTTTTTTCGAGTACTCGAGCTTTTCATTTTACAAGTACTTTGTCAACAAAACCGTTGACACATTAGGTCGCACTTGGTCGAACAGTCTTAACCTGTTTGGCTTTTTTGACCAACCATTTCAATTATCAAGAGCGAAGAAATCGGCCATTTTGTTATATTATCAAAACTGTAATGGACGACGCGAGACAGTGGTGCCAACCTTGCACGGTCACGATTTCTGTGCGTTATTGACGAGACGTGCCATTAGACAAGCTCAGCTGAATCCGACCGCAACGGGTTTAACCGTGGATGTGTTCTAGATAATACCCATCTAAAAAGATAAAGGAAACCCTCTTTATTTACCCACAAGATGTGTGTGTGTGTGTGTGTGTGTGGAACTGACAGACACGGAATACGTTTTAGCTCAACTACTCTCGGTTAGACAGTTTTCCAATTCGCACAGTGAACATAAGTGAAAGAAAGAAACTTGTAATTTCCCAGTTGGGAACTCCTGTCTTATTCGCGACAAGACGATAGAACGTGGCACACGTCCTTTACCCATTTTTTTCTTTTACTATATTTCCTTTTTCAAACAGCATTCTTCGTTGAAGAACTTTAAAAAGGCCTGAATTGTCATCTCTATTTGGATAAGCCATAAACATATTTTCTTCCTGACAGTGGTTGAACTCCAAGTTTTGGTTTGCTTACGTTTTCAGGCAATTACATTGCTTCAATCCGTCGTACACTGTAAAATATGTTTTTCTTTTGGTGCTGAACAAACTGCTGTGCTATTGTGTACCGTTTGCCCGATTCAAATCCAATAAACGCCAAAGCGGTAAAATTAATATTAATCGTGGATTTTATTTAATTAAAAATACTCGCAAACCGATCGACGGACGGCACATTGTTTGAATAATGCACAATCGGAGGAAAGACTGTTTTTTAATTTAAAAAAAAAATAAAAAACCAAAAGTTTCTACCAGATCGTGGACATTTACGAGATGTCAATTAAAAACTTAAAAAAAAAAGTAATGAAAAACTGTTAAGCAGAAGGGTGGAAAAAACTCGGTTAAAAGTAGGCAATCGTTGCGGAATAACGTTTAAAAATGTTGTGATAAAAATGATAAAACGATAATTTATAATGAAAAATCGTCCAAAAATTAAATTGAGTTTACAAAGTTTAAGTTAATGAAACTCTGTTTACTGTTCTACCAAACACGTGCCATTATTTATTTTTGTTTGTCTTTAAATAGCTATAAAAATCAATCTTAAAAATGAACTTTATTGCGTTTTTTTAATATTTATTCACTTTTGGCAGTCTTGTACATTTCTGAGTAGTTGTTAATGGAAAAAAAATTCGATTCATTCAAAGCCGAAGGTACTTAAATATTTAGTATTCAATAAATTAGTGATGGAATCCCTGGGGTACAATATTATTGCTATGAAATGATAAGATAATATGATATTTGTATCATTATAATTGTTAATATTATTGCAGTTGTATGCCCAACAGATAGGTGTAACAATAGACGCTTTAGCTAGTATGTCGAACGATTAATAATATTGCTGTGTTTATTTTTCATTTACAATGTCAACGCCTATTGTCGTTGTCAGAAGACCCGTCATTGAAACGCACAGCTACAAACAACAGGTGGTGAACAATTACCATATTATTTTACAATGATCACTTGCATTGTACACAATGATCGATGATTAATCTACCATATTGTTTTGTCGATTTAAAATATCCAATCGGGTACGATATTTTTTTTTAGCGACTTAAGTGCTCAATTCATTCGGACATAGAGTGACGTCTTGCCAAAACGTCGATTTTCATCAGTACACCGTCTTAGGGATCAACTCTGACACATCTCGGGCGATTCCGCTGAATTTTTTAATCCCTCGGCAGTGATTGATCAAGCCTCTCCAGACCCCTGACCGGAAGATCCACAATCCTGGTGGTCGCCTCCGTCTATTGTGTGTGTGTGATTGGACCGTTGTTGTAAGCTGGCCTAATGAAGCTGTTTGAAAATGGATGTTGACGTGCACTCATCGTCGAACGAACAGCTATTAGTAGAGGAGGACCCTTCTGCTGTCAGTCCCAGGGGTCACCCTACACAGAGATCACAATGGCCGTCATTAAGCCACAGACTTGGTAAGAACATATTATTATTATTATTATTATTATGTAGGTACCGAGACTTTGCCAACGGGGCTCGGGAAGTGCACACGCCGGGCAGCTCATCGAGGGTCACACTATAATTTACTCCAATTGTGGAAATATGGTAATCATTAATTTTATATGATATTATGTCATTGGGCTGGATACAAGAAATTTCTTGATGCCATTTTCGCGTTACACTTTTCCTTTTAAATTAGAGATAAGAGAAGTGATTAGATACAAGCACAGATATATACAATTAACTAGATTGCCAAGTGTACACGACGCCGATAGAGATAACGGAAACTACCGTTTTCCACCACCTTTGTGGGTATTACAACCTTATCACAAGAAAATATGTAAATAGTTAATAGCTGATAAGGCAGAATTACAGATATATATATAATTTATTATATTATTTTCTACACACATAAATCCCACAAAAATGGCGGACGTCGACTTATTCCATTGTTATCACTAGTTAGCAATCTAGTTTATTGTATATATATAAGAGACCAGAGATAGTGATAAGAGATAACATATCCATATAATCCACTATTTAATGTGTAAGAGAATGTATGTATAAGAGGCAAGAGATAAGTGATATGGGATTAGATATAAGCACAGATATTTATATGTATATATATATATATATATATAAATATATATACAATAAACTAGATTGCCAAGTGTACACGACGCCGATAGAGATAACGGAAACTACCGTTTTCCACCACCTTTGTGGGTATTACAACCTTATCACAAGAAAATATAAGGCAGAATTACAGATATATATATATATATTATTTTCTACACACATAAATCCCACAAAAATGGCGGGCGTCGACTTATTCCATTGTTATCACTAGTTAGCAACCTAGTTTATTATATATATATATATCTGTGGATATAAGAGACCAGAGATAAGTGATAAGAGATATTTTCCATTAGATTAGAGGTGCAGTTCAATAATTTAATAATGATAACATTAAAAAAACGACGAGAATGTTTTTGTGTTCATTATTAATTAT